CAACCTTAAACTAAACCCTAAACCCCAAACCTTGAAGCCGGAATCCTGAACTCCAAACTGCCTAAACGCTGAACCTAAGCCACCCCAAGCCCCAAACCCAAAACCCTAAACCCTAACCCCAAACCCTAGGCCCTACACCCTAAACCCTAGGCCATAAACCTGAAATCTAAATCCATCCCAGGCTCGTCACGTCCGTCTCCAATCGCAACACGGAGTCCCGCACCGTCCGGAGGATCCTCAGCTCGTTGCGCTTAGGGTGTTTTAGGGTTTAGGCCTTAGGGGTTTCAGGGTTTAGGGATTTTAGGGTTTAGGGATTTTAGGCTTTAGGAATTTTAGAGTTTAGGAATTGTAGGGTTTGGGGCTTAATGCTTGTAAGTGTTTAGAGTTTAAGGCTATTAGGTTTGTAACGGCTTATGGTTTGAAGGCTCATAAGTCAGGATTTAAGGTCTTAAAGCTCGTAAGATGTATGGATTAAGGGTGGTACACACTTATGAGTTGAAGTCTCATAAGATTTTAGGGTTGAGGGTTTCGGGGCTTAGGCCACAAAAGACAGGCATGTATGAGGCATAGGGTCGAGGCTACAAGCTTCCCCAAAACCAACATGGAACCCCAAAAATAACCGGCTGGGCCATCTAAGGCGCACGTAGTGCGCGCATCTAAGGGTCCCTCTTGGGCTCCAGGATTGCTGCCCTGGGGCTTAGGGCTTGGGGTTCTCACGGTTGGGGTTCAGGGTTTAGGGTTAGGGATTTAGGGTTCTGGGTTTCGGGGTTTCAGGGTTAAAGGTTTTTAGGGTTTTAGGGTTTTAGGGTTCAGGATTCAGGGTTTAGGGTTTTAAAGGTGTAGGGTTCAGGGTTTAGGGCTTAAGGTTTTTTTGGATTAAGGGGAAAACAAGGCCAACAAAAAACACACGCGGTTTTTGATGTGCGTTTTTGAGACTAAACCGGCTGCAGCAACAGTAAACACCTCTCAGTATGTATGCAGCAATAGTGCGTGACCACCAAGCATAACAGCAAAGACAGCACACCAAAATGCGTGTACTGTGTTTTCCGCATACTTCAGGCGATTCGTGTTTGGATTTCTACGTAAACGCGGAAGCTTGCCCGCAACCTGGAAAATTGCGGAGACATCGCGAGAACGAACTACTACGTAGTCATTATAGTCAAGGGAGTGACTATTGAGACTTCAGCATGGCTCTGGCTTGGTACTTCAATGAGCAAACGCCATTTCGTGCGATCCGTGTGACACGGCAATTTGCCGGAGATTCGCTGCCGGATCCAGCGTTTGACAACGAGCCATTTGCACTGGACAGGGTTGGTGCTGAAGCCATGCGAGTTCGCCATTTCACCCTTACTATGATTCAAAATTTCATGACGAAGAGTTTGTTGAGTAAAGCGACGACTCTGTCGAAATGCTTTCATGGCAGAAACAGCTGACTGCGGTTTATCACTAACAAATATATCGCCCTTTCGTAGCCCAAGTTTGTTGATGTGTTGCAACATCTCCTTATGGCCACGAGGCTTTCCATCAACGGAATCTTCAGGGTGTTCGAGAATACGGAAAATGAAATGAGTCTTGAGCTGCCCCTGCAGTACTTCTCCCCAGAACCAGACTTGGTCTGCCCCTTTTGGAAAGCGCATTAGGCTTGCGTTTATTCAAATGAGCTTCATCTGCTATTAAAACGCCGGCATCACGACTGCTTTCCAGGTGGATCTTGTTGACGCCTGGTTGCACGGGGACCAAGTTCGCGAGTGAACTTGTACCCTTCCTCTCTGGCCTGCTGATCTACAGTGATTTTCTTCTCAAACTCTGCCTTGATCACCCAAAACCGTAGCTGTTTGCCTCCCATTTTATCAAGCATGAAGTTGAGTCCCATAAGGGCCAGCCGGGTTTAGCTACCCCAATCAAACCGAAGAGGGTTCCCATAACACATAGCCACGCAATCCACAGCCGGCGGAGGTACACGTGGTTGAAGATACGCACATAGCAGCCATTAGCATCTCCATGCGTAGGTGGCTGTGCGGATTGTATGATGATTTGCATAGTGTAGGGTACCGTGGATTCCTTCTTCAGGTTGAAAGGCTCAGGCATCTGAGAAAATCTACCCTCACAACAGCACTTGTACAGGCCATGGATGATGTTGTTCGTGACATCAAGAGGATGATACATAACAACATCAGCAAACTGCTCGAATGTGGCCCTACGTGACGAACTGGTAAGTCCCCAATCTCAACATCACCTTTGGGTCGATTAGATCGAAATGGTCGTTTTTATTGGGCATTGCAATTTGAAGCCGTTTACTTGTCCGCATGCCTCATCTAAGGTGAGAGTACCATCCAAACCACCCTCTTTGACACGGAAGCTAGCCATGGAGAATAGCGACAATGTAGATTAGGGTGGGAAAGCGCGAAAGCTAGAAGTGAACAGCCTGAATGTTGTGATATGTTTAAATAACAAGAACAAAATGCCTCAGCCGCATGTGACATATGTGCAGGCGTAATGCACTTGCAACGCAGGGAGCTTTCATTTTGACAGTGCGATGCGAAACAGCCCCTGTTGAGCATGTGCCGTGCTGCGTGATGCATGGCAGTGTGACCACAGCCCTTAATCAATTTAGTTGGATAGAGCAAACACGTCTTCATCCGGCAGATGTTCCTCACCGCGTCTTGTCAGCTTCAGAATGATACCGTTTACGATCAGCAGGTCGAAGCCTTGGTCACGTTCTTTGTACGAGTCATATATGTGGATGTATTTTAAGACAAGGTGCCATCCAAAAGAATTGCTATTCGTCTTTCGCGATATACTCGTGTAGGATCTGGGTCCATACATACAAATTAAGGCATATGAACTATAAACATACCTTTTCATTTACAATGAAGGTTTAGGGTTTAGGGATCAGGGTCTAGGGTTTAGGTCTTAGGGGCCTGACGCCGTCAAGGCAACAGCCGAAAACTTAAAATCCTGAAAACTGGCCCTTAGCCCCGAAAGCCTAAACTGAACACCCGGAACCTTAAAAGATTTGAGCCCTAAGTCCCAAAAAAACCAGCACACTGTCGGAATCCCATGGCTAAGCCTGAAAACCTGCAAGTCTCAAACCTCAAACCCCGGTAGGCAGCTCAAGCTTCATCCCATTGAACCCCATAAATGGGCTCTACAAAGACCGCAGTTCTTTTTGGGTTCGGGGTTTAGGGTTCTAGGTGTGGAAGGGGTATTGCAATGATGCCCGAAACGGGAACCGTGATCTTGTCAAGCCATGCATCTTCATCTGCTGCATCGATGAGACCTGGGCTTCGCCCAAAGGACCCTAAACCCTGAACTCCCGATGATTTGGACACAGCGTGCAGAGGTTCAACGGCTCACCCAAGCCAAGCTTTACAGACCAGACCTCTATCTTTGACGATGAAGGTCTGTCACACACACCAAAAGCAATTCGCTGTTTAAGGGCTTTCCATTCTCCACACAAACATGGAAGGCCAGAAGGGACCCTACAAAGACTACAGCCCTCATCATCTTTTCCAAAAAGGACCATCTGTCTATCTAGATGCATGGCATGAATTTCGGGCCCCAAAGTAAACCTCGATATTTTACAGGAACTCAGAAGAAGGCGGCCGTAAGGTTTGGAACCCCCCGTGGTCCATGTCTATATGAACTACAGCCAATATTTCCCCATAAAATCTTTTTGGACATCGGTCCTGCTTAAGGAATATATGGGAGGACCCTACTCAAGTACCAGAGTAAACCTCTGTCCACCCTTCATGGTCCTTTGGTAACACCTAAACCCCAAACCCTAAGCCCTAAACCTCTAAGCCGTAAACCCTACGCCCTTAACCCTAAACCCTAAAACCCTTAACCCTAAACCCCAAATCCTAAACCCTAAACCCTTCCATCAACCCTAAACCCTAAACCCCAAGGCTCCATGTCTTTTTGGGGGAATGCAAGGACCCAAAATCAAACCAGAGGGTCTGATAGCCAAAACCTGCGGTTTGGGGTTTAGGGTTTAGGGTAGCGTCCTTGATGAGTTGATTTTGGGCTAAGAAGAATGTGGTATGAAAAGGACAAGAAATTCGCCGAGGCATCCAGCCTCAGGGCGTTCAGATCCCTTTAAACTACTCCTCCTTGCAGACACGCCTCAGCCTGGCCACCCCCCCCACCCCCCCGCCATGGTGGGTGGCCTAGTCTTTCAGCCTCGCCCAAGGTTCGGGGCTGGAGGCCCTTGAGGCCCCTGCAGGCCCTGAAGGCCTGGAGGCCGCTGGAGGGTAGTGGAAGCCCTGGAGCCTCCTGGAATGGCCTGGA